TCAGCGTCTTCATGATCAGTTCCTCAGAAATGCAGTTCAGGGAAGTGAGCTACACTTGAATCTATATTTGAATATATGTGTTTCTTGATGCTCTTAAAGCACTTTGAATGGCCTCGTGTTGAAAGATGCTTTATCAATAAACTTTCTTTGCCTTTCCTTTAATGGAGCGATTGAACAAAGGCAGTGACAGAGAATCAAGACGTCCTCAGAGAGAGTCTGTCTCCTTCTATAGATCTCACCCTGATGAACACAGAGAGCGACTGGACGGCAGCACGACCCTCTGTTCACACTGAGATCATGGCCTACAGAAACACCTGATCATGTGACTCACTGTAGAGGCCTTCACACAGCGGGGGGGGATTTGTCTGAAACAAGGGGGACTCCTGAGAGTTCACACCTCGAATCAAGCTAACCAATCATGTTGAGTCTTTATTAATGAGGATTACAGAACCTCTCCATAGTCAGAACCAAGCTGGTTCCACCTGAACCTGTTCCTCCCCGGACTCTGGTCCTCTGCTCTGTGACTCTGATCTCTGAGTCCTTCTTCTACTTTTCTACACACTTTGTTTTTTGCACCTGCCTTTGTTCAGTCTGGCTTTTAGTTCTTTAGTTGCTTGATTAAAAATGTTAAGCAGCAAACCCCAATGTTAGTTATTCTGTATGTGTGTGAAAGAGTTTGTTATTTTAAATTGGTCTCCTACTGAACTGTTTCAAACACGTCATGTGGTCTTAATGTGATCTTATCAAAGTTAAAGAGAATTATATAAAAAACACCCATCACAAACACACACACACACACACACACACACACACACACACACACACACACACACACACACACACACACACACACACACACACACCCACCACAACCGATAAGGACATGCAGCATATTGCACAACTGCATAAGGACACACTCACATTTCTTATGGAGGCAGGAAGTGTTTAAAAGCATTGAGTTTACTTTTATACGGTGTTCTCAGAGGTCATACTCTGCATGCACTTTATGGGATGGATCAGAGAGTATTGAGTTTGTTCCTGAGAACAGAGTGACTGCAGGGACTGATTCCCCCCCCATCACTTCCTGGTGACAGCTGAGATCTGACAGAGAGATAGCAACATGCTAACGGTGCTCTCTGATGTCTCAATCACTCCCTCAGTAAACACACACTGTTCACAGGACTCTGACACGTACATACAATCATCATATAGGCTTCAACATGTCATGCTATATACAGGTTAAGCATACGAGTTAAATATGCTGCATAATTCTATATTTACACGCTTTGCACATATGTATCTACAGTGGGGGGGTGCTGTAACTTCTAGAGCCCCCTGAGAGTGTTCCTGTTTATCTGAGTTCACTTTAACCCTTGGATGGCGTTCATATCGTTGTTATTCAGCCGGTGTTCGGGGGTCTGGAGTCCCGCTGAGCTACTGGGTTTGTAAATGAACACAACCAAACAATTGGATGTAAACATACTCAACAGATGTTCCCTTTATCCCAACTACAAGCCGTACAAACAGCTGATAAGGTTCATGGTTGCCCTTTACCTTTGTTGGAGCACAATTATAAATAAAGACCATATTTGTTTTTATTTTAAAATGCAATTGAACAAAACAATTATTTTATTAAATCACGATATGACAAATGTACAAATAAAGGGTTTTTCTTAAGTATTTTTTTAGAGCATTTCCAACATTGATGTGAGTCTACACAACACTTCAGCCCCGTTAACACCAGTGGAGAACCGTGTCTATCACAACTGGACCTTCTGTAGACACACACCCCCCCCGCCCACCCCGCCGTTATAATATCCGTCTTTTCACTGAATTATCGTCTTGAAAAGGTACTGACAACAATTCTGCAACAACATCATCTTCACCTGTTTCCATTTCAACGTTAAAACAATAAAACTTCAGATGAATTGCTCCTAGGCATTTCTCTGGATCCTCTGTCTCTCTCCAGTGAACTACCGGGGTTGCGGTCGAATAGTCCATTTAGCTTAGGAACCTTCCTAACGGAGTGAAATGACCCGGAAGTCCCTCAGTGGCAGCCATGATAAGTGCCGTTCGAATTCTCTAAATGAAAGGAAAGGAGGTTTCAAACTTCCTTTATAACCTCCTTTAGCTTAGGAACCACTGGACCTCCCTAACCGAAAGGAGAGGAGAAAATGCTGCCCCACAATGCCTTGCGGCCGCGGCATTTGCCGTCTAACAACAGTCGGCCGTTCACGGTTACAACCGATTATGAACGAGAAATGATATCATGAAAGTTACGGTGCTTATTAAGCATTTTAAAACGTATGTGGTAAGTTGCCAAAGTGCTTTGTTTTGAACGTCCATCAGTATTATAATCAAAAAGAGAAATGTGAACGTTAGTTTTTACTGAAATGATCAAATAAAGTCAACATTTCACAGTCTTTACTGAGCTGTGTGGGGTTTGTTCAACTTTTAAAAGATGTTTGAATGGTGATATACACAGTGATAGATGTTAAGGACTAACGTTTATAATAAATACATTTGTATTGATTTTAAGATCTTTTCATACAATCATACGTATTGGGATCATTTGTATTAATGTGAACCGGAGGGAGAGGGTGACGAGCATAAGTTTCACTTTCCTTTTTTATTTCAATTCCAACTTTGGTCATGAAGAATATGTTTCTCTGTTGTCCCCGTTCATAAAGCATAAAACAACAGCATCAGAGCACGGTGCAGAGTCTCTAGATGAGTTTACAGTAGTCCCTCGTTCTTATTAAACATCCATGTTGTAGTCCGCTGTATAGAAAACTGTAGTTTCCATAGTTTCCCCACAGCAGCAGGCGCACATTTATGACCTCCGCTGGCGCATCATAAACACGTCGGATAGTGAAAGTGCAGTCGGATTCTCTACCGCAGTCTCTTCTCCTAAATCCTTTTGAATTCTCCTATCCACTATCCCTTAACCCCGTGACGTTTCACTCAGAGGTCAAGGAATAGACGATAGGGTTAGAATTTAGGAGCTGATTTTTTGGACTATTCGACCGCAACCCGGGCCTTCTAGAGCACCTGGAACCGAGGGAAACTCTGAAAGAACACGCCCATTGGCTACAAATCAATATATGATTGGTTGATCAAACTGTCAATCCAAACGCTCTCATTCAGTGTGAGGGCAAGGGCCTTCTGTCAAGGATTAAGGCTGCTTCTCAGGTCGATTAAATGGAATCCTTGCGTCCCTCACTTGCGTCGTTTCCCTGCGTTTAGTCCCTCCCACCAGGGAAGCATGGAGACGCAAGGAAACCACGAGAAGCAGGGAAATGAGTTTTAAGAGCAATGGGACGTCCTTTCCTCCGGAGCGTCACGTGAAGCGACGTCCGTTTGTGATGACACCGCACAGCTGATGTCTGACAGCAGCTCTGTCCCCGTTGTTTTCACACACACCCCCGCCTGTTAGTACACATTTACTGACATATATACATTTGTATCATCTGTTGTAGACCCAAATAAATAAAATAAAATAAGAACTCATTCTCAAAAAAGATAAACGCCATTCTTAAAATGTATAAACGAACAATAGTTAGATTAATATTGATTAGAGTGCACAATAGAAATAAAATAATTGAGAGAAGAAAAAGAGGGGGGGGTCAAACTCCATTTCATCTCGGGCCACATCAGCATTAAGTTTGCACTCAAAGGGCCGGTTGTAACTTTAAGACTATATAAATAAATATATATAATATATGTAAAATAATGTATTATACGTTATTGACTCTCTCAGAAGTCTAGGGCAAATAATTCTCTTCAGTGTGAATATCACAAAATGAGTAAGAAATCATTGCAATGTGTACTATACATGTAGGACAGTAAAAAAAACAGTTTAAAAGGGGAGTGATTAGTAAAATATGCATAAATAAAAAGAAAGAATACTAACTAGGTAAGAAGCCCTGAGACACAGTTTCGTGAAAAAAGACCCGCAGGCCCCGGTACCGGGAGCTCTCGGGCTTAACAGGTTAATGAGGATTACAGAACCTCTCCATAGTCAGAACCAAGCTGGTTCCACCTGAACCTGTTCCTCCCCGGACTCTGGTCCTCTGCTCTGTGACTCTGATCTCTGAGTCCTTCTTCTACTTTTTCACACACTTTGTTTTTTGCACCTGCCTTTGTTCAGTCTGGCTTTTAGTTCTTTAGTTGCTTGCTTAAAAATGTTAAGCAGCAAACCCCAATGTTAGTTATTCTGTATCTGTGTGAAAGAGTTTGTTATTTTAAATTAGACATTTATGTTTACTTGTTCTCCTTCTAAAGACTAGCGTTGGATAATTTCCCTCAAAATAGGATCATGTTCAGCCTCTGATGTGATGATTTGACATGTAGCTGAAGAGAGAAGAGAGCGGGAAGTGACCATCAGATATCAATACCTTATCAATACCATCAGAGATCTTTCCAGAGAGACTCCACCTCTCGCTTTACGCTGATATAATGTGAGGACAAAACATGAGATGCTCAGAATAAAGAGAGCGAGAGAGAGAGAGACAGAAGAGAGACATGGATCACCTGCTGCTGCTGCTGATGCTACTGGTCTGTAGCTCAGGTAATAATCCACTTTATTATTTATTATATTCAAATATCTTTGTGATCTCTCAAGAAAACACTGCTCGTAACACTGACAGCAAGACACACACACACACACACACACACACACACACACACACACACACACACACACACACACACACACACACACACACACACACACACACACACACACACACACAGGCCTGGCACCATCACAGACATGGTGCACTTTAATGCTACGATGTGTGTGATCTTAGATAGTAATTCAAATGTATTAAATATATCCTACGTCAAATACTCTACATGTGTTGTATAGACTTTTGTGATTTGTGATTGGCCCACACTCAGACCAATCAGGAATTGACCAGCACTAAACTTGTAGAAGCCGAGTATGTTGTGTTCGAACTGTTTCTTTGCACACAATTGAAGGCTCTATACGCCCCAAGGTGATGGGAAATGGATCATTAATAAACTCCTCACCACCTTCCTCAAGACCCTGGTAGCCATGCCAAGTGTCATAGGGGCATTTAAGTCTGCCTTAACTTTCGGGGTCTCCACTGCAGAATGTGGGAACCTGAAAAGCCTCACGCAGTAGGGAGATGGTTTGCATGTGGAATAAACATCTTGGTGCTTACTCTGTATTCTGTGTTTGCTGCTCGGTCAGCGGTTGCCCAAGTTGAAGGCCCAAGCAAAGCTGCTTTGTTTAGTTATTGTGAGTGTGTGCCTTGCTCCTGAGTGCTGTGTTCCCAGTGATCGTGCCGCCGTGCACACGGAGTTTCAAACGTGGTTTCTATGCTGCTCTTTATTTCTGTGTCTCTACGCAGTGATGTTGGCCATGCTGCTGGATCTTATCTACATGACGGGTTAGTGGGTCCTCACAGGCCCTCTCTGTAGACCGGGCCTACACACACACACACACACACACACACACACACACACACACACACACACACACACACACACACACACATTGACAGCAGATTTGTATTCTATTTTCTTTGGGTAAATAAATATTTTATTGATCTTCCCATCATCGTCTTTATATTCAGACATTAAGAGTTGTTTTCATTGGAGGCCGCGCTGACGCCTCCACAGAGAGCGTGTCTCACAGTTGTGCAATAGCTCCCTGTCCTTATCGCTGGTGGTGTGTGTGTGTGTGTGTGTGTGTGTGTGTGTGTGTGTGTGTGTGTGTGTGTGTGTGTGTGTGTGTGTGTGTGTGTGTGTGTGTGTGTGTGTGTGTGTGGTTGGGATGTGCGTACATGTTTTTTTATAATTATTTGTAACTTCGATCAGATCAAATGAAGACACGCCATCAGTTGCATAATCAGCAGAAACTACGGAAAGAGTTTGTTTTCAACAAGGGTGTAACTTTGGTTTGAGAAGTGGGGGGGGACAAAACAGGGGTCCTCCGCAATGAGACATTTTCTCAATTTAATTCCATTTCCTGCCTTTCTACAAATATATTAGGGACTATGGTGTTAACAAGGCCAAGAGAAGTGTGTAGTGTATATGATGAGAGTGCAGATTGATGTGTGTATACGTGGGGTCACTTCACGCACTGTCTTAGACACACATACACACACACACACACACACACACACACACACACACACACACACACACACACACACACACACACACACACACACACACACCCACACACATATATATATACACACACACACACACACACACACACACACACACACACACACACTGACAGCAGTTTGTTATTCTATTTGTCTTTGGGTTAATAAATGTTGTATTGAACATCCCATCAGTGTGTTTATACTCAGTTATATTAAGGCATTAATATTTGTGTAGAGACAACTCAAAGTGTTTGTCCTCCAACATGTTCTAACACCTCTATTATATCATTTACACTGATCTCTATTATTGCATATTTGAATGAGTCTGCCTACACCATTGTTCATTATTGTGAATTACCTGTGGTTGATATAGTGTGTGTGTATGAGTGGGGTCCAAATACACACACCGTCAGGTTTTTAAGCATAAGTGGGGTCTATATACACACTGTTTTACACACACACACACACACACAAACAAAAACACATGTACACATACTCTTACGCACACACATTTACATTGACACACCCACACAAACTTACAGACACACACACACACACAGAGGTACTGAGGTGGGATCCATATATACACACAGTCTCTCTTTTAGGCATCAGTGGGGTCACTTTAAATACACACGTACACACACACACACACAAAGTCTTACATCAAGTTTTATCACCAAATACATTGATATTTGTCAAACACACTCACACAAATGCACACACACACACTCACACACACACACTCACACACATCACACACACAGAGACACACCAACTTACATGCACACAAAAACACACACACACACACACACACACACAACACACACACAAACACCCACACAAACTTACAGACACACACACACACCCATGGGAGGACACTCAAACAATATACACAAAAACACACACTGTCACACACACACACACACACACTTGAGGACACAAACATGCACCTCCCCCCCCTTCTGAAGGTGGTACAGCATGGATCAGATCAGGCAGGATCCTGGAGTAAACACAGAGATCATCATCATCAGAAAGAGCAGAGGTCACTGACTGGAATCAGCTTCCTGGAGACGTTCAGCTACTGACCTGTAGGGGGCGACCACACACACACCATCTGGTTTATAGACATACATTCACAAAGTCTGGGTTTTAGACAGATGTGGGGTCCATACATTCACAAAGTCTGGGTTTTAGACAGATATGGGGTCCATACATTCATGCTGTCTTCAGGCACGTGCACACATAGACCTCAAAGTGGGCTTGAGTCCCTGCCCTTTTTCTTCCTCCAGAGAAAGTGCCCTTTTTATGGGGTGCTTTTTTTCTTCTTTTCTTTTTTAAATAAATGAATATGTATCTACTGCTGTTTGCGCACACTTTCCAAAAATATATTGATTGAATAAAAAAAATATATATCAGGTCGGGAGATTAGACTGAAGTTCCGCTGCTCTCTCTCCCCTCCCCTCCCTCCCTCCCTCCCTCCACGTCTCGCGCACAGCTGTGCGGACATCGGCAGTCCCTTCAGACAGACAGGTAGCAGCACCTCCCACTTTACTGTCCCACATTATGCCGGCTTTTCTTGGTTTATTTTGAAGGTGACTGGTGATGAACAAATGACTAAGCTGCCAGTGTGTGAAAGACACACTCAGAAGCCAAAGTACAGAAGAGAGGCTTTCTGATCTCCTCCTCCTCGCTATTGAGAAGGACATTCCTGTTATCCAGTGAAGTAATAAACATCTACGGGACATGGCCCCCAGAAGGTTGCTGCTGTAAGGGAGGAAGGAGAGACAACAAGTGAAGACATGAAAACATATTTAACAACTTCCAAGTGCAAAGAAAGATACAAAGAAAGTTAGTAACAAAAGAAGTTATTAACAAAATATTTAATTTCAGATTTCAAGACATTTTAAAATAATTTCAGTAAAGTTGCAGTATTTTTGCATGTTCTTAATAAATATTTTTGCACCGTTTTTTCAGCATTTTTTATGTGTTTTGTCCAATTAAATTAAGTAAATGAGTAGGAGAGGAGAGCAGAATGCACTAAGTGTAATTGTTGTAACTAAACTTAGCCCTACTTGTAGTTTGGACACATACATACACACACACATACACACACACATACACACATACAGACACACACAAACACAATCAAACACTCATACCATACTCACAAATACATACAGTTATACACTCACACACTCAAACACACAAACATCCACACACACAGACACACAAACACACACACACAGACACTTACACACACACACATTGACAGCAGATTTGTATTATATTTTCTTTGGGTAAATAAATATTTTATTGATCTTCCCATCATCGTCTTTATATTCAGACATTAACAGGTTTTTTCATTGGAGGCCGCGCTGACGCCTCCACAGAGATCGTGTCTCACAGTTGTGCAATAGCTCCCTGTCCTTATCGCTGGTGGTGTGTGTGTGTGTGTGTGTGTGTGTGTGTGTGTGTGTGTGTGTGTGTGTGTGTGTGGTGTGGTGTGTGCGTGTGTGCGTGTGTGTGTGTGTGTGTGTGTGTGTGTGTGTGTATGTGTGTATGTGTGTGTGTGTGTGTGTGTGTGTCTGTGTATGTGTGTGTATGTGTGCGTGCGTGTCTGTGTGTGCATGCGTGTGTGTGTGTGTGTGTGTGTGTGTGTGTGTGTGTGTGTGTGTGGTGTGGTTGGGATGTGCTTAAGTACATGTTTTTTTATAATTATTTGTAACTTTGATAAGATCAAATGAAGACACGCCATCAGTTGCATAATCAGCAGAAACTACGGAAAGAGTTTGTTTTCAACAAGGGTGTAACTTTGGTTTGAGAAGTGGGGGGGGGACAAAACAGGGGTCCTCTGCAATGAGACATTTTCTCAATTTAATTCCATTTCCTGCCTTTCTACAAATATATTAGGGACTATGGTGTTAACAAGGCCAAGAGAAGTGTGTAGTGTATATGATGAGAGTGCAGATTGATGTGTGTATACGTGGGGTCACTTCACGCACTGTCTTATTAGACACAGCACACAACACACACACCACACCATACACACACACACACA